ACAAAAATTCATTACCAATGGGATCTTTAAAGTGTTCTTTTGTTCAAACTCCTGTCTCTGTCTACCTTATCTATGGAGGATTCCTATAGCCTTGTGTAGGGGGTGGCAACCCCCCTCTGCCAAGTTGTTTTTTCAGCAGAATGCTTTAAGGATTTATGAGCCAGGAAAACTCCCCAGTTTGGTTCCTTTGTCTATGGGGCCTGATATTCCTGTGTAAAAATTTCTTCTATGTTTTCAAGAATGTGCCTAGCTTTGAAGCCAAGAATAGAAGCGAGACGCAGCAGTGACACAGCATTTGCAGTAATGCCATCCGGTATTAAGATTACAATTTGCCAGGCTAGAAAACAACTAACCGTATACAATAATATAAGCAGAAGCCAATATTGAGTCATATACTCCTTCACTATATTTCCCTGAACTCACAATGGAAGAAAGAGACAGAGAATGAGATATTTTGGTGATGAAGGAAATAGACCCCTCAAGATTTTTCACCCTCATCCTACAGCAGAGCTACAGATATTCACCATGATTTTGACACTCTGATTCTTTCTTTGGATTAGGCTCCAGGAAGGGAGGTGGAGTTGAATAAATGATGTTAAAATATTCCCCCAAAAAACCCATAATCTTTTAGAATGTAAATTATCTCTCTCTAAGCCAGGGGTGTCAAACTCGATTTCACTGAGGGCCGCATCAGAGTTGTGTTTCACCTCAGCAGAGCGGGGCGGAGCGCAGCCAGCGTGAGTGTGGCCAGCTTGACATCACTTGTGTCGGGAGGTGGGGGGCAGTGGTGGCTTCTGGTATGGTGCAACGGGGCCAAGGGTCCACCACATGAACGAGTGCAGCATGCGTGCATGCGTACTTATTGCCTGTGATGCTCTGCGATACTCCATGATGCCTCCGCGACGCTCCAGCTGCTCGGCGGAGCATTGCACAGGCGCCGTACGCTCTGTGCGCGGAAGCCCCCCAAACCTCAAATACCGGTAAGGAGTGTGGGTAGGCAGGTGGGCCCTCAGGAGTACCGTACCAGTACCTAGTGCTCCCGGCAGGCACCGGTACACCTGTACTGGGGCGTATCGGTCATAACCCATCACTGGAGGGGGGGTATCGGTGGTGATCCAAGCGCTCTGCCAGCGAAAACCATTTGCAACCCTCTGCCAGTGAAAATGGAGCTCATGTGGCACTCCCTAACTGAGTCTTCTCTGGCAGAGGCACTGCAGGCTGGTCCTTCAGTTTTCAGGGTGGCCCGGTGGCCCGGATCTAAGTACCACGCGGGCCGGATCCTCCACCCCCCCCCCCAGGGCCTTGAGTTTGACATCTCTGCTCTAAGCCCTGTTTGAATACAGGCGGCTCTCGACATACACCCAATGAACATTTGTTAATTGAATTTTACCCCATTTTACGACCTTCCTTGCCACAGTTGTTAAGTGAATCACTGCAGTTGTTCCACGGTTGTTAAGTGAACCTGGCTTCCCCATTGACTTGACTTTGTCAGAAGGTCACAAAAGGGCATGGTTCCACCACAAAACCGCGTTCGACTAAAGCGCGCTTGACGAAACCGCGTAGCTGATGTCATCACAGCGCGACGAAAAAAGCACGCTGTAAATGCTAAAGCTAAAATTAACCCCTAAACCTAAACCTAACCCTAAACCTAACCCTTAACCTAACCCTAACCCTAACCCTAAACGTAACCCTTAACCTAAACCTAACCCTAAACCTAACCCTTAACCTAACCCTAACCCTAACCCTAAACGTAACCCTTAACCTAAACCT